AGCATCCAGTGAAGGTCGTCGCAGATCGATTTGGGGACACACAAAGATGGATCCGGGCGTTCTATAAGAACGTTAGGAGTGTCAGTTGCAACAAACGCCGTAGCGACCAAGCTCCCCTGCAGCTCCTGCGCGCTGTCGAGTTAAAACATAGAGAAGTCGAAGTGTGTCAATTGCTCACAGCTGAAAACATATGATGTCGGTAGTTCCTTCTGAGAATCAAGATCTAGTCGATTGGAAATCCAAAGGTTGAAGGAGAGTGTGCTGCAGCTGTGACTGGAGTGTGGAGAAACTGATAGCAAGTAGGGACGCAAACAAATGCGAACCGTCAAAAACGAATAGGACCGAACATGAAAACTAAATGAGAAGAATGTAGCTATACCTTAGGTAGGACTACCTTACAAGCACGCACATTATAATTCGACGTAGAAGCTGGAACACGTCGAGTTAGATTTAGTCGCGGCAATGATAAAGGGATAAAGACGCGACAAGGAATGACGCGAAAGAAGTTGGACGCTTCACAAGGTATAATGCTCAGCTAATCTACGGCTGCGACGTTTTGTCGGCGAAATCTTACAAAGCCATCACGCTGTAGTGCTGATGCACTTGTAACAAGCCAGAATGATAAGGCGCGGGCATTAAGTGGCAACGACTGGCATGAAAGAACAGAATTTGCCCTCTGGAGTCGTGTAAGAAGTTGCTCGTCGGCATAAATCGCAACATCTGATCTTTGGGTTGGTATTCATTTGCCTCAACGCAAAAGAAAACTGGAGAGTCTGACAGCTTTGCAGTCGTCAAGTACGTTGAAAGGACAGCTAGCGATGTCGGAGCTTCATGGAACGACGGAAAGTAGGCAACGTGCGATCATGGGAGATCGAGAACTAGAATTTATGTTGTCATTGGTGCTGCACGTGGTAGGTACACAGGCAATGGTAGGAGATAACTGTTATCAACGAGAGGCTCTGCAACAGGCAGAAGCCTTCGCCGAGTGAGATATCAAGCATAACGTGCCCGACAGAAGAACGCGATGTACTTTCCACTTGCAATGCGCATGAGTGTTGTCACTCCGAGCTTTACAAAACGACGTCTCAACGTCCAGAGAAGCTTAATCGAGACGGGTCTCACCAATGCAATCTGAGCCTCGTGACACGTGCAATTTCAAGATGACAAAATTTTTGTCGACAGTAGCACTCCAGAACCAGCAACTATGCCAGACGAACGGATCGATGCGTAACACTTGGCACGAGATGGAACATCAGGAAAGGGAGTCCTGGAAGTAGGTAATGGCCGAACCACATGTTGTTCTTCTTTTCATCGTTTTATGTGTTCACAAATCATTCCGTAAAAAGAAGCGTGATCCGAAACTTACGTGTCTATTCAACAGTCGACTGTTGTGGGGTATACTGTGGCGGCCGCAAGGCGTTTACGCGCTTCTGCTTCCACGAGAACTTGGACCTGGACACGATACAAAAAAGAGGTGAGCGTACGTCTGGGAATCTGCATGCGATCGACTACGCACCCGACGTTCTTCCATCTACTTACTCTTGCAGATAGAATCCGTACAGTCAGGCACCTGCCAAGACCACCGCAAACGGCAAAGATGGCACGGCCCGTAGAACTATCACCGCCAACGTTTACGCCTCGCCCAGTCATTAGTATTGGAGGTGCGAAAGTTGGGCTCCATCGTCCTGTGTATCATGTGATGTCAAATAAGGTTTGCACACTAAAAGGGGTGCCCAGAATGGTAGGCAGGCTGCGTCGAAACCCCACAGGATGATACAAGGCACATCACATGCACATTACGGACGCTCTCCTGCAAAACTTACTTCAGTACGCTGTTTTTTTCGCATTAACTCTGCTCTCTTTAGTCTCATTTTGTCTGAAAATGCCGCGTTGGATCTCGCTTGGATGCCATTTCGTGAACAATAGTATCTGGTGAAGCCCCCGACGAAGGGTATTGCCTGTCACCCTCTTTGGTCTAATCAGCGTCTTTCTGCCACACCGTTGCCTGCTTTGACGTGTGACAGCTAGCAAGGATGAGGGCTCAGTGGTCCTTGTAATCCATTTTATGTAGCACAAGAGCCACGTGACGTATGTGCTTCATTGTATATTACCTAACACCTCGAGTGCTGTAGCTGACTTGACCTTGCCGTCAAGGAGTGCGTAGATGCCACAATCGACAAAGAAGTGTGAGTATAGTAAAGTGGTACTTGCCGAGTGACTGACGTCCGAAGCGCAAGATCTTGGCGATCGGATTATAAGACAGGTCGGTCCGATCGCTCGCGTTATTGGATAGTATCGATTGATAAAGCGTTGGATGCTAGACATCCGCAGCAATACTCAGGGCAGTCTGATAGTATTCAATACTCGGTCCGTTGATCAGGTACGAGAGATCGAGACGGATGTTGCTTGTCCCGATATCTTTTGACTGGCACGCAAGCTGATCGTGCTGTTCAGCATCGCTTTGCCGTTACTAGTCATATGTTGTTCGTCATTGTAGTGAACTGAGTAGTGCACTTGAGCTTCACGTGCGCTAGGGACACTTGTGGCCATATTAGCGCACGCTATACTCATGGCGAGCGTGCAATGTGGCCGATTGAAACGACCGATAATGCACAAGCGAGACAACCTCTTAGCAGATTCGTACAGACTTGTAAATTCTCAAGAGTAGAAGTTGGGTCAGACCTTCTACCTAATCTGCGATGTGTTTTGCTCATACAAAGAAAAGCTAATTGTAGTTGTAGGGACTGACACTGTGGAAATCGTCGAGCGCCGCAAACGCACTCACACGAAAAGAAGCCTTTGTCGCCATGACAGGAGTTTGTAAGATTGTCGCGATGATGCGTTGTGTTGCTATCAGTTGTCTTCGGGTAACTAAGATCGACACAAAGTAGAGAGCGAAAATTTTAAATAATAGTAAAAACATGGTTTTTTGTTCTGCTTTGGATTTCTTCACGATTCCAACGGTCAGAAGTGCCGGTCAACAAACATTCGGAAGAAAAGGGATCTTGTAGATGGGTCGTATCCCGAGAATGCTGCAGAGCCAGCAGACGTGCAGGCCGTTTGCACGCACCGACAGATTGGGCACACGACATCTGGTATCGAGAAAGAAAGACCAGTCGTAATCCAATGGAATATCTATGCAACTCTCACCTATCCTGCAATGGCGTGAACGCGCGGAAGGACCAGAGCTGGATAAAAGGACATGTACAAACGTTTAGGTCGCAAGTGCAACTTGCTACGCACTTACTTCCCTGCTCTTGGAGGTATCAGCTCTAATCGACGCAGCTGTTGCCTTCGTGCAATGCCGTTTTGCGATCGTACGTACCGAAGACAATCGTCGCACCTGATGTCTTTCGAGGTCACATGCAGCACATCGGCTTTCTCCGAAACACGACGACTGCATCCCGTCGTGATTGTGGCTACTGCACCGCTTGTCCGAGATATCATTTGCTTGATCGAATACGAGCCGTCACTTTTGAATGTGCCTACGGGTCCTTCAACCCAGCAACGAATCGGCATCTAGAACTGTAGACATAGCCCACACACACACCGCATGTACGGCGCGGTGTTCCTTCAATAGCCTACTCAGGACAAGCTCTTCATCTTTCTGCGTTCCAAGCGGCGTCGTCTGTCGGTGTCCAATTGTTGCATCACGTTGTTGACGAAGCGATCGCGAGAAAACAGTTGGAGGTCATGTCAACAACAATGAATCTGCTACTGTCCCAACTCGTTGCACCACAACGTCCTATCCATACCCAGCCATGAGGGTGCAGCGCAGTTTGCAGAGAGCCATCACGGCCGAGGACGGGCTATCCATTGCCTCGTCAACACCATCACCTCTCTCACAGGCGGCACCACACTGGCACTCAAACGTGCTCGAAGCCGGCGCTCGCCGCCATCGTGTGGTCATTTCGCCACAACATCTTTCCGTAAAGTTGTGGCAACGCTATCCCTTCCACCGACTCAACAGTGTGCATCGGTTCAGTTCGCAACTGGCCTTGCGCGCTACGACGACGACTGGGTCCTGCCCTCCCCCCATTCACCGGATCGAGTGAAGCGTCCCGTGGACTGTTTTCTGGAGTGCCCGCGCTTCACTTGTCTGTGTGTGACGAGGCTCCTGGGCACAGCGTATCGGCAACACGGGCTGCCGTGCAGTCAGGATAAGCAGTGCCAGAAGATCGATCGATCGATCGCCTCTCGACACGTTCCTCCGTACAGCCGCTGGCGTTGTACCAGGGCCCAAGCAGACAGACAGACAGACAGACAGAATAAAAAGGCGGCTCGACGTATCTACGCGTCAGCGCTGTCGCTCGCCCCGGCTTTGCCCCGGAGTCTGGATTTTACCGCATAGAAAGGCCGACCGCTGGCTTTGGCACCGATTCCCTGTCGAGTGTCGTCTGCCAGCGCGCGACGACCGGTCAGTGTCTGGTGTGGCGGAGCCGCGCGCCCTAATCGAGGCGACCTCCTGCTGGTTCGCAGCCTACAGTTACGTGCTGCACATCAACTGAGGGCCCTCGCCTGGTTGTGTCGCCCACAGTGCTGGGTCTCGCCTACTGCGGCGTCACTTCCGTACGCGCCCATTGGCCGCCACCGCCATTGTCGTCGCGTTGCGCGAACAGTCCCGAATCGCACTTACGCGAACACGCCCACCAACAAACAAACAACCCAACAAACCCGCGACGACGTACCCATCCAGCGAACGTCCTCTCCACCTCTCGCCCTCTCTCTCTCGCTCTCTCTCTCTCTCTCTCTCTCTCTCTCTCTCTCTCTCTCTCTCTCTCTCCAATCGACTGATCCACTGAGCAAGTGGGCACCAAAGTGCGTAAGACGTGAGGCCTTAATCGATCGGTCGCTTTAGATCGCGTCCTCTCTCTCTCTTTGTGTCTCTCTAACGCGTGTCGCTCTCTCTCTCTCTCTCTCTCTCTCTCTCTCTCTCTCTCTCTCTCTCTCTCTCTCTCTCTCTCTCTCTCTCTCTTCCCCGTTATATGTAGACAGCGGTCATGGACTTTGCCTCCCCCAACGAGTCGGACGTGGACATGATGCACGACGACTCGATGCTGCACGTGAACCTCTCGGCGCAGTACGGCCACCCGCACCACTCGCACCACCAGCAACAGCACCAGCAGCAGCAGACCCAACAGCAGCAGCAGCAACAACGTCAACAAGCGCCTCAACAGCCCCAAGCACGAGGATCGCAAGCGCCGCCGCCGCAGCGGTCGCTCCACTCGCACGTGAACCTCTCGACGAGCGACGCCCACTCGGTCTTCCCCGGCGTCTACGTGCCCGGCCTCAACCACATGGAGCCGCAGCCGCAACAGGGCGACGCCATGGAAGAGTACGCGCGGCTTATGGGCATCAAAGTCGAGTCGGACGACGTCCACGTCGTGCCCAACGGCAACGCCTTTACGAACATTGCCAAGATCCAGGCCAACGCCGCGTACTTTGAGAACCTCATGAGCGCGCGCGACCGCAACGACGCGATGGACGACGGCACGAACATCACGTCCATGACGCTCCCCGCGGGCATCGGCAGCGGCCTGAACGGCCAGTTCATGGCGGCCTCTGGCAGCGTCCTGACGCCCACGCCGCCGCTGTACAACGCCACGTCGGAGTTGGCGTACCAGGAGAGCAGCTCGCGGCTCTACGACCCGTCGTCGGGCTTTCCGGGCCACACAGTGCCCCTGCCTTTCCACAAGGGCCCCCAAGTGCGGCCGAGTATGCTGCCGCCGGACCTCGTGGGCTCGCAGACGCTGCCGCCGGAGATCATCTCGGCCATGATCAAGAACAACTCGTCGCACAACTTTGACAACTTGAGCGAAGACGAGAAGCAGGCGCTGATCAAGGAGGAAAAGTCGAGGGAGCGCAATCGCGACCACTCGCGCAAGTCGCGGCTGCGCAAGAAAGAGTTTGTCGAGTCGCTCAAGCACGAAGTCGGACAGCTGCAAGTGTACCAGCAGATTTGCGAACAGTGCATGGACTGCATTGCGCTCGTGACGGCCGAGGCGTCGGCGATCTTTCTCTATTCGAGCGCTGCCTACACGCGCTTGCTGGGGTACCAGAACCACCAGATCGTGCCAGGCCAGACGAGTTTCTTGGACATGGTGCATCCGGTAAGCCGCAACTAGTGCCCGTGTCGTTGTTGACGCGCGCTGTGGTTTGCAAGCTGCTATTCCTGCTAACTTTGATGTCGTCGTCATGGCAATGTGTATGTGGTGGTCAAGAGCAATGTGCAGGACGTTCGCGCAGTGTTTACGAAGCTCAATACGCTTGGCGAGACCCACAGATGTACGTGTGACACTCTAGCTACATGTGATGTGATGGGTTTGCCAGGGGCGGTCGAGTAACTAACGACGGTGTGCGTTTTGGGGGATGTGTGACGCGTGCGTGCAGTTAAATTCCGAATAAAGTCAATGGATGGCGAGTACTTCAACGCGGAGACAACGGCACGAATGGCCGAGAAGGGCATTGTGTGTTCGACGCGTGTGAACCGCGACATGTAAAAAGCCGACTTCATGCAGTGGCCTTTGAAGCGTACAGATCGATGACAGCAAACAGAGCGCAAGTGGATGCTACGCGACCAGAGCACAGCACAGCACAGAGTGACCGAGACAAGGTCGTGAGTGATTCGAGACCGACACAGGTTACAGGACGATCTTGTCAGTGGACGACGTTGAGCGCGCGAGAGCGAGGAATCGGAGGTGTCGAGCAGACGAAGAGGAGTGGACGAGCAGCACGAGCTCGGAACGAGGGGTGCCGCATATAGTAGTGCAGTGAATGTTAATATACGACCGCAGTGAACGGTGGCACGTGTGAGAACGATGAGGTACCTGCAGCCATGTGGAACAGGTGTCGACTCTGCTGTTCCGTCACTGCCGTCCGATAATGTGTGTTGAAGTTCGTCGTGTAAAACGTTCGCCGTTTCGAGCCATTAGTCAGCATATGGGACGGGAAGCCCGTGGGAGAGAGAGCAGGTCCCGAGCGAGTCGACCGCGACATAGCCGCAAAACCACGTGTCGATTAGTAATGTATAGAGACAAAGAGAGCTCAGTCGCGAATAAGACTGCGATGGTGCTCTTCTTACCGCACGCGGGTGGAGATCGTCGGTACATATGGTGACAGTCAACTCATGAGATCGCAACAGTCGCAACAGATCGGCCCGAACCGAGAAAAAAAGAGTCGACAGTTGTTACATTCGAGCAGTCCCTTTGTCAAAGAAGTATCGACGCGTGACCGCACGTGTCAAAGCCACAGTGTCTTCGTCGTCCGTAAGGCACGTCAAAGCAGAGCTAGTGCGTTGTGATGGAGGCCGCAGCGAGTGAGCACATTTCGGTAGCTTTGGGTCTCACTCGACCGTTTTTGAGCGAGTCAAACCGCGCGTTTACGCCGTTCGAGACGTGGGACCACCTCTCGGCCTTACTCGTGACACAACCTCTTCAGGTGCAGCCTCTTGGGTACTATCGCACCCCCCAGAGCATTGACATGTAGGAATTACGTTCGTAGCCATTGCGTTCTTTTCGGATCTGTGGTTCTATTTGCTGATCTGCCAGTGTTTGTCAACTTGTTCATACCGAGTACAATGATGTAACGATATGACGGGCTGGATGTCATGTATGCATGTAGCTATGTCTTCGAGTGCGTCCTGCGCGACACGAGTGGCTCGCAACGCTACAGGTGGAAGATCTACCGTCGCTATCGACAGTTTCACAAGTACGTATTGCACTCGGCCAACTTTAGCGCCAGTCATGCAGTGGACATACCCCATTTGCCGCAAGGTCCGGTCCAACTGTTCCATGCACGACATTGCAAAGACCGTCTTGTAGAGCTCTCCAAGTGGCTTGCAGCAGTGGTGGAGACAACACGGACTTACTATATGCAGTTGCACCGGAGACAGGAAGCGCAGGGCCGAGACAAACGGTGTGCACTTCAACCGCAAAGATTGGCACAAGAAGCAAAAAGAAGACCACGAACAAGCAAGTGCAGTCACATTTGACCTCTGCGAAGAGTTTGGCTGGGCCGAGATCAAGCTCGAGAGCTCCGAGACAACAACAAAAGCGCAGTGTCAGTTTGAAGGCGATCGAGCAACTGGGCGATCCTGTTTTGTGCGTGCTGCGAGCGGACGAGACGGAGGCGTTTCCAGTCATGATGTTGAGCTCTTTTCTCTTTGCGGGCGCAAACTGTCCGTTTCCGCGCGTTTTTCAGGGTCTACCGACGTTCGCTTTGGCGTTAGAAGAGCAAAATGTGCAACTGTTACGAAGAGCGTTGCCTGCTTACCCGTCCAGATTGAAGAATGCTATCGTGACTCGAGCGGGTCTTGGTCTACGGCTGACTCCAAACCACGAACAAGACGGGCTATACTTGGGTGCAACTGTTGCAGACTTTCTCCGAAATCGAAACGAGCTAGACCCTGCACTGGTAGATGTCCCAGTGGGAGCAAGACTGGTTCGAGTCAATGGCATCGATGTGAACGATTGGCCATTTGATCAACTTTTGATTCAGCTACGAAGTTTGGCTGTGCCATTGCGTCTAACGTTTCGGTACGATCCGCACCTGAAGTGCCACAAAAGCAACACAGTGACGTCACACAGTCATGTCGATGCTACATCTGCTGCAGAGCCAATAAGTGGAGAGCAGAGTGGAGAACATTGTACGCGAAAGGGAAGCTGTGCTGAGTGTTCAGTGCTGGACCACACTGACATGCGAAACGAGTCAATGAATTCAGGTCGTCGCACTTCTAGTGCAGACAGCTCTCAATCGAAGTTTGGTTGGCTAGCCTTAGTCTTTGGCAATTTGTTCGGTTGTGGGAATGCGGTGAGCACGACTTCGAAGTTAAGGTGGACGATGGACGCTGATTTTATAAGCCTTTCAAGCAAGCGGCAAGATAAGCCTGCGGACGTCGTATCGGGGCCTGGATGCCTTTCGTTGTTGGATGGAGGCAAACCCGTTTTGTGTTCGTGGGATGAAGTAGGTGGCGAATCGCAGAACATCGTTTTGCGTGGATTCTATTCTCACTTGCCACATTCATTGCTTCGAGAGCTGCGACTGACGGATCGCAATGAGGTGAAAGCAAACGACTGCAATCGAAAGCGCAATCAAAACGAAAGCTGTGCCGGAGAGATTAACATGGAGGTCATCAATGCCAGTGCATCACCGAATTGCGAGGCGCTAGGTGTGTGGAGCACTGCTTATGGATGCTTGGGGTCACTGTTTGGTGCATGTACAATCCAAAATGTGGAAGCTGCGAGGCTAATGCAACCGCCTGTGTTTTTCTCAACGAGTGCTGAGCACTGTGCCAGCGAAAAGGACTTACGCACGGGATTGATCTTGGTAGCGATAAACAATGAGAGCACATTTGGGCATTCGTTTGCTACTGTAATGGAGCGTTTGCGCTTGGCTGCACGCCCTACCAGTATATGCTTCCGTTGGTATGAAGACTTCAGTCCATTCTTGGACACAAACGTTGCAGAAAAACACGAGAGCTGCCGTTATCTACCGTCAAGGTCAAGCAATCTCCATGCAACTGCAGCTGAAGCATTTGCAAGCTATTTGGACTGTGTAGCGGTAGCGCAAACTGATTTAAGTTTCAGCCTGCAGCTCGCTCTGACAGAGAACGCATCGATTCGCGATGAGCTGAGTGTTCTTCGTGACGTTCACTGCAAATTGGGGCTAGCGCAGGAGCGTGCAGCTCAGAGAGAACATGTTTTGCAGGCCACGATTGAACAAAGAAACGGTGTGATTGCCAAGTTGAATGAAAAATTGGACGTGCAACGACACGAGCTGGAGAATGTGTATCGCCGGGCGTGTGAGGCAGAGACCAAGCTTGCCTTACACCATCGAGAGTACAAGGCTAGGTTGGACAAGGCAACGAAAAGCGTCAAGGTACGACTCGCCGAACGCGAGGAGCAACTGATAAAGGAATCGAACCGATCGATCGTGAATGCGAACTATCTGGCCGAACGTCGTGCCCTCAAGATGTTGGAAACAGCAGCAAATGAACTGCGATACAAGCACGAAGAATACTTGCAGCAGCTCGCCGAGGAGCATGCAGAGGAAGTGGAAAGTCTCGTGCAGCAAGTGGCAGTGTGGCGTCACCAAGTAGAGGTGCTCACGGAGGCTGAAAGGCGTAATTACGTGGCTTTGATGAGCAAAGGCGTGCATCCGTACGGAGAAGACCAGCGCGCGCGTGTGGGTTACGTGAGTACCGATCCACTTATTGGACACCGCATGAAAGGGCATCATGACGACAATGATGCGTATATAAGTAGGCCGGAGACGACCTTGGTCTCGCGTGCGAACACCAATGTAGGGCGTGGTTGCAGTCCCGAGGATGATAGTGGCAAGGACGTACCTGAGGCTGCCTTTAGAACACCAAACATGGCGTTGCAGGTTCGCCATGGCACATTTTGGGACCGCATGGTCTCACTGCTGGCCACGGAATGATACAGTATGGAGAAGATAGGTGATAGTTTGTGTATGTGGACGGAAGCGCAAAGTTGTGTTACATGTGGTCACGTATGGTTATAGCTTTGATTTTAAAGCCAATGTGAAGCTTTGATAGGGCATCGCACAGAAAGAAGTTGGACATTACCAGTGTCATGAGTCCAGCCGTTTCTCAGATCGTGTTCAATGCAGAGTACTACTTGAGCTGCTTCACACAAGTATAGGCTAAAATTCGCGCGAACGCATTGTGCAGTTGCCAAGTTGGGTTGAGGCATGCTGCTCTCGGCTATAATGCTATCTGCGACGTACTCACATTACGTCCTCGATTGGATCTCCAGTAGAAGACCTACTGTGGTTTATCTGTGGTACTTTTCGCCAAAGTGCATGCAGTGAGTGTGTTGTAAGATGCATCCATGACAAGAATCTGGAAGCTTCGCGCGATTTTCGATAGAGCAACAAGGTAGTACGACAGCTATTTGCAGCATTGTGGATCAATCACAGTCCGGCATAGCTTTGGGTATTGCAATCTGTGTGCGAAGACTGTCATCACGGATGGTAACTGTTCGTTGCGTAGCAAACGCGTGCCGACATGACGCTGCACTGAAAAGCAGCTCAGTGGGAAGGCAAAAATGACGAGGTGACGGAACTAATGTAGATGTCGACCGATTTGTAACACGCGTAATGACGAAAGCATTTTACCAGCTGAAAACGTGAGTCTTTTTGCGATTGGTGTTACAGGTTTTTAGATTTGCCGCAAGGCAATGCAAAGCGAGCATACAAAAGAGACGTGGAAAGCGTGGACCATTATGTAAAGGATTGTTCGAGTCAAGCACAAAACTTGTCGTGATAAGGCGCAAAATGTGAAGCTGTTCTCTACCCGAACGAGACCTGCATGTCCAATACAGAGACCATATAATATGGCGACCTTGATTTTTAAATACAGTCTCGCGGAACCTGAAACGGGGCATCCTACGCTTGTACTGACACAGTACAAGCTACTTGCATTGACTCACGTATGCAGTACTTGCAAAGGAAAGCTAAATGTCATGAACGAACCGGTTTGAGAGCAGGAGAAAGTAGAACTGTATTTAATACACATATGTTGGCTCATACAGCTTCTCTCATCTTACTTAAAGCATGGCGAAATTACAAGCAAATCCTGTAGCAACCCACTCACCACCCATTACACGCGTCTGGCAACGATTGGTGGTAAAGTTGTTAGGTGAAGTAGCGTATATCGATGGATATCTGAAGTAACTCGACAGGCAACCCCGAGAGCCGCCACCTCAGGTGGCAAGCCTCGTAGAACCACCGGACTCGGCTGAGGAATCGGCGTTGCTAACCAGGCTTATGACTTATCAGACATCGTGTAACCATTACAGGGTAAATAGACCCGTCTGCCCCTCTCTATGAATAAGTAACGCAATGCCAAATCTTACTTTCGAAGGTAATATTTCTTCACCTTCGAAGGCAAAATTTTCATCTTCGAAGGTAAGATATCTATGATAGATAAACCAAGTAATGCAAGTAATGGTGATCGTTGTCAATTACGATAATCTTTATACTGGACCAATTTGGTGCCAATTACATGTAACGGGCTCTTCTCGATACAGTAACGAATCGTGTACAATTTTATGTGCGGCACTGAGACAGCAAAGTTGTATTCTTGCGTCGATGCATATTCAAGCTCGACGAACACGTAATAGCGAACGCTACTGTCTGCCGCCGTCTGCGGTGACACGTCTAAATCACTACACGTGCTTCTTGTGTCGCATGTAAAGAATGGCCAAGTCAGATCGGAAAGAACTTTTGACACTGGAATCTGGCTTGCAATGCGTACTCTTGTGATCGGTAAAAAGCTGTGGACAATCGCGGATCGCTTACTATCGCGTCTGCGATTGCATTCTGGACCATGGTATGTAACAAGAGCATCTCGTCATCGCGACATGTGCCGCTCTTGTGCTCTGCTTCCGCTTATTTTGGTTGCTCCAGTATGAACGAGCTAGCCACAGCGCGGCCACAGAAGCAGGGAATGCGCACAGGTTCGTCAAAGATAGAAGAATGTAATGCAGGGGACTGATAGAAAATCACGCAAAGGATCCCGCTAGCTCTGTAACGGTTAGAGTCCCTTTCCGCAGGTTCCCACAAAGGGTCATACGGGTCTGTGGACCAGAGCCTTTATGTGACAAGCTCGACGGTATCTTTTGACACAAACGTCAGGTGAGAAGACCAGAAGTACCGATGCGATCTGATCGTCGTCGTCTGTCCAAGGATTTGAGATGTCCTTTTCATCCTCAACAGCGTACACATACGTTTGAGCACCCCATCAGCTTAGCAATCCATCGTTTGTGTCCAAGGGGTTACAGCATCGACATATCCGCTTCTACCACATCAGCGCTTCTTTTCATTTGCGCGATAGGACGTGGAAGCAGAGCTACACTGCATGCACCAATGTTATCTTAGGGAAGACTTGTGCTTCAGCTGTCTGTCGGAATGAGAGTAGTCTGGGTCCGAAAGCATTCGGAGCGACAACAGACGAGCTGCGATGCAGTGCTGCTGTAGACAAAAAAAGGCGCCAGCGAACATGTGCTGCATGATAGAGGACGATTGATTGGTAGCCGCGTCGCAGCACAGAACATCGATGCTATGGTCGCCGTCGAGTTAGGTTCTGGACTGGCAGACCGATTTGACAGCCAGCGTTTGAATGGATCACGTAGCAATCTATTCATCAGTCAATGCGAGTGCTTGCCAATATCAGGCATTGCCAAACAGTCAAGCGCAAATGTCGCCAGCATCTCCAGGGCCTGTCAATCGATTCCTCTTTGCTGATTATCAAGCAATGGAACGACGTCAGCGCTGGCGTTTGCGCGGACACCAGTGATGAGGGCCACGGTTGTGTACCCGCATTGTCTTTTGTTCTACAAGTATTTCTTCTTTGTGGGGTCTGTCACACCAGCACAGTGCGATAGTAAAAGGCCCAGCCAGTGGTAAGTAAAACAGCCAGCCCGCTTTGCGCGATCGCAAAACAGACTGCGGGAACAGTCCAAACGTATGGCCTGGAAGCGTGTTGGCTCGTTTATTGATCCTTCAAGCTTTGCAAGCTTTGTCGTGCCTGAGAAAGGGCCGCCCTAGCGTGTTTACAGTCCAATTGAGCACCACAGTGATCATTGAGGTGCTCACACATGCCGATGCTGACGCGTGAATACGGTTCAGCAATACTGCCCACGTGGCTTGCAGGTCCACTTTGCAGCTCCGTGACATGTGTACCAAAGCTACTGCATGTTGTCGGTGTCCTGTCCGCATCGGCGAGAAAGTTATGGGTTCAAGATCGGGATCGAACTGCATGTATTCGATGACCTGTCCGCCTTGGTGGAAATGTCAACAAGGGTAGAGAGCTGCATGCAACCAGAGACAGACGTCGAGCAATGGCCACGACAGAGTTAGTAGAGATTCGGCATGCTCTCGACCAGTCTGTTTCGTCTCACATCTGGCTCGTGCCGACTCGATGGCTTTGCTGGACTTGCGGTCAATCATAAAATTGCCAGCTCCTTGCCACGACCCACCGCGACACCGCAAAGCCACAATGCGCGTCTTCTCTGCGCTACTTGTGACTTCCGTTGCAGTCCTGACGTGTATCACCGCAGCCTCGGAAATTTCTGAGCAGAAGCCGATGACTCGCAACCAGTCGGCGAGCGCTCGTTCCGCGGCAGGCGACCACAGTGCTGATCCAGCGAACCGGTCACCGAGGGATTCTGACACTGAAGATGAGGAAGCAAGAGCGGTTCTACCCCTTCTCGCAACAACGACGTTCAAGCCTTTGCCTGCAATGCAGCATGCATTGAGTCAGGGGAAAGCTGCTGTCTCTGAGTCGGAAAAGCTTCGGGTGATGGTCGAGGACAATCTTGCCACTTTCTCCAAATCTCTACCATCCAGGTATGATTTCGAGGCCAAGCGTATCGGAGAACAAAGAGCAAAGCTGAAGGCGCTGGGTGTAGCGGAGAAAGACCGGTATTGTCGCGACGTGATTTTGGATGGGAATGCACGTCCTGGCATCATAAAGGCTGTCGGCGACTTAGTGTCAGCGGATGATCGCGTAAGTACAATTGCGATAAACGTGATGGGTCAAGAAATTCATGCGCACGAAGTCGAGCGTCGGGCACAAGAAGCTGCAGCAAAGTTTGGTGAGACGGCTCGTCGATGGATTGACAACGGCAAGAGCATCAAGGATGTGTTTACGCTGCTACAGCTCGAAGAAGAGGGAGGCTTTATTTTTGCGACGGTAGAGCTGGAGGTGCTGATGATGTTTGTTAAGGCATTCAACGAGAAGCATGGCACGAACTTTGGACTGCTGGATGCCTTGGTGATAGGTTTTGAGGATGAGGGCAAGGTCGCACGGATTCTATCATTTGCGAGCTCCAATCCGGTATACAAGGCTCGAGCTAATACCTTGCAAAAGGAGTTGTTCGGTCGCTGGCTGCATCATGGAATATCCGAAGATGGTGTTTTCGTGATACTAGGGCTTGACGAACCGGAGAAGATCATAACGTACGAGGACGTGGACACCATTACAAAGTACGTCGACATGCTCATCGACAAGCATTTGACCACAAAGCCGAACGCGTACGAAGTTTTGAAAGCAAACCTTGGAGATCGCAAGTTTGCGAAGCATCTCAGTGCAGCGATAATGGCGGGGCAAGAAAGCGAAAAACACATGGGATCCTTGCTACGAGACTGGTTTAATCAGGGGATCTTGCCCGAGGACCTGTATGCTCGATTCTTCAATGAAGGAAGTCCCGACAAGCACAATGTTCTTGCCCTTAACGAGGAAAGTCCTAGCGAAGTGCTGGAGGTGAATAAGGTGTTGTCGTTGTATCATAAACATCACCGTCAACATAGCGGTGAGCCTATTCATCGCCTGCCTATTCCCCCGAGCAGCTGAACAAACGAAGAAGTCTGCGATTCGGTAAGTCCCGTCCGAGCATAAGAGAGTGGTCTTGTTGAGCATAGTGCAGTAGAGGAGAACTTAGCAGCACAACCAACGCGTGGGTCCAACCGCAATAAATTGTTCTGTTCTTTCAGCCCGATCGCGTCTGCGTTTGTCACGCACGTTTGCACCGGCTCGACCAGTCGCGAATGCTGCACTAGACTCGAGCAACGCTGACCGTCCTGAGCATCTCGAGCTTTGATCCGTGCTTTCGGAACCGATGATAGGTCCATGTCCACATTCGTTAGCAGCACATGCAAGCACTGAAGTTGGCACACCCCTCGCTTTGTGTACTGCAGTCGTCAGTGCAGAATACGTCACGTCCCAGCGAGAGCCGCAACGCATTCAGTTGCTATTCGCCTTGTTCCAATATCGCCGTCGATGCGGTCGTTTTCCTTGTGTTCCCCTACAACGTCTGCTGCACATTCTGCCGCTCTTGTGCTCGTGCTGCAAGATCGGCGCTGGAATCACCAGGGGCGCCACTGAAGTCACTAGTTTGCTTGTGGTACTTGGCTCGAGCGCAGATGCAAGCTCTAGATCGCTGTGCATGCTAAACGGTACACTCGCGTTCTCGCAGAGACGCATTGAGCGTGTCAAGATGCATACGCGGCCATGCGTATCACCAGCCACGACAACTTCGCCCACCACAAGAACCGACGTGTTGGCTTCGACAGAGCCGTTTGTTGCTTGGTCAAAAGCGAGTTGACGTGGAGGTTCGTTTTGACGAGTACTTTGCTGAACTGACGTTGCTGCTGTAGCCCAACATTCGTGTCAATGTCACCGAGTGAACAGCGTCGAAACGATACAAGCGAAGCACGGGAAGATCCTTTAATGACCACCTCAATCCAAATCAATGTCGTCACAGCCACGCCAACAACGTCGCTCTTGCAGACCCCACACAAACCGCACACATACCGTATGGAAGCTGCTTAGCACAGCCACAACAGCTTTTGACATGGAGATGCAGCCGCCAAGTACTTCGCTGCATATTACGTGAAGCAACCTCTGCGACGTCGCAACCGTCTCGGACGAGTTGCAGACAATCATTCTTCTCTTGCTTGTAACTCTGTTGACCATTGCACTTTGCTCGCCACAAGTCGACCTTCACTGGACACTTGTCGTCCATGTGCCGTTGAGCTTGCTGTAAACAGCTGCAAACCGCTGCAAACAACTCTCGGCCAGTTGATACCAAAGTAGAGCGAACAGCTGGATCACCAGGTAAATCACATCACCATTTGACTCGCTCTGCTCTCCATATCCTGTGCCAGCAGCTCCTCCACACGCAAATTCCTCCCATTCACTGCATCTTCCTCGATCGTCTTCTACATGTTGCACGGGTCCGTATAAGAGAACCCTTGAAACACGTGGCTCTTGCCGATAGGTGCATCTGAGACCACCGAGTCCACGACTTCTTGTCGCTTGAAGAATTCCGGCACGTTGCTCACTTCACCGTCACATTTGACTACAGGCCGGAATGGTACAGGCACGTCACGTTTATACAGCTTTTCCCAATCGACGTCAGCGAAGAACGGATGGTCCATAATCTCTTGAGCACCGCACGGTCCCGAGCCAAGTCGCTTTGCTGGGTTACGACAAATCAAACCGCGCAGTAGCGAACGAGCATCCTCGGAAAACTCGGACGGGAATCGAAGTGGAAGCTTCACAATGTTCTGGAAGTTGCGCTTACGATTTGCGTGGTAGAATGGCGTGTAACCCGCAAGCATCTCGAATATCAGGACGCCCAGAGACCAATAATCGACCGCCTTGCCGTACGAAACGCGGCGAATGAGCTCGGGGGCGATGTACTCGGGCGTGCCGCAGAAGGTCTGCATGCCATCTTTACTGTCAAAGTTATCGTGCGACAAACCAAAATCGGTGAGTGCGATAAATCCCTGATCGTCCAGCAAGATGTTCTCGGGCTTGAGATCGCGGTACACGATGTTGTACGTGTGCAGGTGCGAAACTGCTAATACGAGCTGCGCTGAGTAGAAGCGAGTGCGAACCTCATCGAAGTGCATTGCACGACGCAGGTGGAAGTGCAGAGTGCCGCCGTTGTAAAAGTCCATTACGAAATACAGCTTTGCTTCGTTCTGGAATACATACCGCAGCTTCACCATAAACGGGTGGTCCACGCCCTGCAAGATACGCCGTTCCGTCTTCGTGTGCTCCACTTGGTTCTTTGCAAACACAGCGGCCTTCTCAATCACCTTCATAGCGTACACCTTACCACTTTCGCCCCAGTAGCGAATGCGATCTGTTGTGGCGTCATGCCCATTGCCACCATTGTGCGAGGGCTTAGTAACCGTGCTCCTTTCTGTTGTTGTTGTACATTTCTTCGGACCAGCATTGCCTTACCAAAGGCGCCGCGACCAACCACGCGCAGCAGATCAAAATCATCAATTGTCAACGTGTCGTAAACACACGCGGCCTTCACTATTGTAAGCACATCCGGCAGTACATCCAGCAGCATATCCAGTCGCACCTCAGCAGCTCCAGAACGCGCTGTATCGTACACGGACTGATTCCGCAGTCGTGAAGATTGTTTCATTATAAACTGCAAGCTGTCCGCGGCTGCATTCCAACAGCACCCCAGCAGCAGCACCGATCACTGTATCGAGCACGGGCTTTTTTTCGTAGTCGTGAAGATCGATCCCTTAACATGTGCTTGAAGGTCCGCAACTTGCGTCTCGCGCCCCTTCACCTTCATACCCATTTTTGCCACCTGACCTCCCGTTTTTTGTGGCTGCTGATCCTGATCAAACGGAGTTCCCGCGCAATGCATAATCTACAAGTTAGAATGTAATACTGGAAATCGGAAGACACGAGCGAGTGCGTGGCAACATGGACGACGTGCTACTTAAAAGTCCATCGCCACTACATGTCGTCGTTCCTGTGCCACTTGGACCTCCGCCTGTGCCAAAAGCCATAACACCAATGACACGGAAATTGAGTGTCTTTTGCACGAAATGTAAAGTTGTCGGACCTTTTCAACGAGGTGAGACACGTCTGTGCTGCGCGACGAATTGATGGACTTCTCATACCGTCACATCCTCTCAAAAGTCTCACGTTGACGTCCACTTCAAACGAGAGAACAAGTTGTCTGTGTAACGGGGTTACTCGTCGGTTAGTAACCGGTACAAATTGTGTGGCTTACACGTGGGATGAGATCCCATCGAACGGGATATTCGAACACCTTATCAGTTTGTCAGGGCTGACGTGTGTCAGCCATCAGATACAATCTCTCAAAAGGGTACTGAATTGGGGCATTAGTGCCTAGATTGGGTACGTTAAGCAAAGGCGTCCTTCCACATAAAAACAAAAAAATGAAGTGCAGTCTTCTTTTGATCTATCAGAGACACATGCCTTATGAAGGCGTCTCAAGTCGTATATTGAATAAGTCAAGCCTTGTTAAGGCGTAGACTTTGAGCACGTTGTGCGGTCGATTCGTTGACTCGTTTATATTCTTAAGTTTGGACTTAAAGCTTTGAGCTTGTTGAATCGAAGGGTCAAGTTCATTTAGATAAGTTAATTGCTCGCTGAGCAGAAAGCCTTTTCTGGCTAGGAGCTGTACCACCTTCGCTACAGTCGATGTGATCTCAGCCACGGGAGACATAACAGCTGTACCATTATCACAAGCGTGAGATCACCTAAAGTAGTAGGTATGATCACATTGGAACGACACCCAGACCAGAACCAATGCAACGCGATGGGAGCTAGAAGGCGTTATCGTCTATTGACGCAAACCTCGTCCGTGTTCTGCGACCTGGACACATCGCAGGCGACTACTTGTGTTGCCACGTCAAAGCAACTGAGTTGACGTAGCGGACATTATTTCGAAGGCGGAAGCGTCTTGTAGCTTTCTCGATCCTGTCAAAATAGAGGAATAGCAAGTAGTAGTGGGTGACGGAAGCGAAGGGACATCGTGCGATACAAAAATGGTGGGTGGTAGTCACGATGATTCCGTCTAGAATTCTAGGAACACTTGAAACAATGTAAACAAATTCAATCGGAATAAAAAACGTCGCAACAGTCCGTCACTTGACTTTTGTCGGCGTAAACAATCTCAAAGTCACTCCTGTTTACCAAAGAAGGTTGCTCAATTTAAGAGCAATTACAATTCATTAGCACATGATATACTGCACCGATCTGCGTTGGACATGCATCGAACAATATTTTCTGACCAACGCATTGACAAGCAGGTATACTTTGCAATAGAATGTGGGTGTCACACGTACCGCTCTCGAGTATTCGGCTTGTCTAGTTTCCAACGTGAATTAGAAAATGCCGCAATTGATAGCATCTGACAAGAGTCGCTTCGACATACGTGAAACACGATCTCATTGAAATGTAAGCACAAAATCAGTCACGTATTCCAAATTTCCGCCGTATTTTGACGCAATGTGCTGTGTCTTGACATCGAATACACAAGTGGTTTCATTAGGTCTTTAGTTCATACACGAGCTGCTACTCTAATCCTATATATTCTTTGCATAGCCGTTTCTCAATTATCAACTGTCGACGTCGTATCCGTATACGTTGTCATCATGTAATTACAAAACTTGATGGAACACACGTGCACTTCTACGGTCAGCCAAAAATACTTCCAAACCAGAATGCACAATGTAAGCGCATAGGAAGTTGACAATCATTCTGGAGCGAGCGACATGCGCTACATTCTCCACGAGGGAGCTTGCGTTGGCGCGTTAGGAAGTCTTGCACTCATTTGCGTTAATTTGGCATATGTCTGGTGTTGTTTTTTTCCCTCAGGTACACTCATGCTCAGGAAGTCCATGCCACCGGACGAGACAATCAGGATGTTGCCAATTATGCTCTTTTTGACAAGCGCTTTCAAAATGTGGAACTCGTCACCGGTGGCTGTATCTGTATCACTAGTACTTCCTCATGGTACCAATCGACTGCTAAATTGCATATGGTTTGTCACAACATGAGTTAAAAATCGATGCTGAAGCTCGGATGCAACTTGCTGATTGTTCGAGAGAGGGTGAGTTTATCCACTTTCTGCTTCATCCTTCTCTCAATCTTAACCGGCCAAAGTTTATCCGCAACTAATTTCTATTGTTAAATTTGGCTATTCCAATAATACGATGGCACTGTTTATGATGTCTAGAGTCAAGCCTATCCATAATCCAGGCGTGAAACGTAATTCTGCTGAGTTCCTGTAGCAGCTCTTTTTCCCTTCGAGCATTACCAAGATCGTCCGTGCAAAGTAAATTATATTATGTCTTCTGTCTGCAAATTTATTGGCGTATTCATCCAGAACAATCTTCGTCACTGCGTCACTATAATCGCCTGCTCTAGCGTTTTTGTCTCTATACTCGTGTCAATTTCGAATAATGATATCTCGGTAACTTTCTTATCAGCTCAAAAGAAGCAACCTCGATCGAACCGAGATATTCTGACCTATCACTACCATGATACGATACCATGAGTTGTAGTGCATCTTCCAAAATATAGTTTTGGCGCTCTCTTTGACCGTTCGATTGTCCGATGTCGCCATTGAGTGCGTTGTACCCATGACCGCTATGAAAATGGCGTCAAGTTGGACGTAATTTTCGGGTCGAGATCTCTTGGAACGACTTCTGGTTGACTGTGGTACCGATCCACAACATCAAATAAAATATGCAACTTGTGACGCATCGACGTTGGTTTGCATGGCAGCATATCTTGGACGCTTCGACAGTTTATCCACTATAGTCATGATCACTTCAGCCCGCTTGACACTGGCAATCCCACAATAAATCCATCGATACAACTACCAACATTCTTCTGGTATGGGCATGGGCATGAGCTTGCAATTTTCCTTGGGAGTACTCGTATTTTATAGCAGACATGTACCTCATTTTTTTACACTATCGCGTACATCGTGTTCAATTTTGACCGATGGTACCATTGCGCCACCTTTAAATGAGTGCGACAAATTCCTTGATGTGCCGCTGTTCTCCATCATGATAATTTCGCAGGATACCGGTGATCAGCCCTTAGTCCAAAGGAGCGCAAAATATATCGACAGCATGCTTTGTATTTAGATAAAGCATCCCATTCTTTGGCACGTACTTCTCATGAACGTTGTTTAAAGCACTCTTAGATCCCGGTAATGGACGTGGCCGACCTTAAACGAGATCTTTATCGCAGGGGTTAAATGCACACGTGATACAACGAGCTCTATGTTCTGGACTTAATCCTGCACATAGCCTTGTTTTATTTGACGTCATCCGACGTACTGAAGCACATAACTCAGCCCTAGAGGTCATCCGCATCAAATAAGTATTGATATAGCCGTGTGGGAGAGCACTAGGCTTGTTCATGGAGTTGCTAACTCATAGACCGTACTGCGAACCACAGGTATGAACTCAAGGCACTGATGTCAAATTGATTCAATGGACGGAGTGACCCGGTTATGCCGTGACAGAGCATCGGCGGCCATGTCGGATGTGACATTTACGTGATGCAGCGTGAAGTCGAGCTGTAAAAACATCAGAGCCAATTTCGGAGTGACAATGGGATGATGAAGTATTCAGCGGCACGCTTTATTGTCCGAAATTACATCAAATGAACGTCCATGAAGGTAATGATGCCATAGGGTAAAGGCAGTTTGACCGCTAGTAATTCTTGTTCGTGGACAGGCGACTCTTGTTCATGACGCCCAAACTATTTGTTATAGAACGCGATGGGATGATCTTCGACATTTGTGATCTGGGACAATGCACCACCCATGCAGCACCAGGACGCATCTGCAATGACGGTGTATTGGGTCACGAAGTTCGATAGCTGGAAGAGAGGTGCTTGATGTAGGGCGACCTATAAGTCTCGGAAAGCCTTGTCCTGATCGTGCGACTTCTCCCATCTCACTCCCATTTCTACGAGCTTCGTAAGGGGTAGTGCTATTTGTGCGAAAGCACAGCTAAACCGTAGATAGTAGCCAGCAAATGTCAGAAAACGCAAAAGTTATTATGCGTGCTTGGTGCCTTCACTGCTCAATAGCTGTTGTCTTTCGCTGATTCGCACTCCAGCCAATCTTATCAATTGTATGGCCTAAGAATGTGACGCATTTATTGTTGAAAGAGCAATTTTTTTAGTGTGAATATACCTTCGCTTGACGAAGTACCAAATGTACCCCACACAGATGTCTACTGTGATCCGCGTTTGATTTCGTAAACAGCCAAATGTAGTCGAGATAGACGAGCACGAAGTAAAATTTATGTGAGAGTACCCACATAAGTAATGAACAGGCTCTTAGCATTTCTTTCAAGCCCATTGGAACAACGCATTACTTGTATGTATCCTTATGAGTACAAAAGCCTTTTATTGACGACTAAATTGTTTCACAAATATTAAAGTATTATCCCGAGCCAACTCAATGACAGTGTAGACAGCACAGCTTACTATTCGATCAAAGATCCTCAATGAGAGGGATAGGGTTCTTTGGAATCTTGTTCTGACAGTTTCCGTATCGATAATTATCGACATAGAGAATGGATTGCGTGCGATTAAGGACCGGAGCCTTTCATCCCGGGTTGAAGATTGTCCAAATTTATGTTTCTAAAAAAACCAAAGATGTTGGAAACCGTCGGTGAGTTGAAACTTCAAATTAGCCTTTATTGAGTTTCTCTGTCACGCACATTTCGAGCGCTTCTTGCTCCATCTTGGAAAAACAAAAACTGGCTTGCGAGCATGGAATTACATCTGGTTTCATCTCACCTCCGAAATGCACTGCAAATGCTGGTGAGAGATCGTCAGGAAGTTTCTCTGGGATAACATCAC